CTGGGGCTTGTATCTTACCCCCTTCACAAGGCGCTGGGTTCTTGCAGGTGTGGATGTGGTCTGGATGTTGTCCTGTGTCCTGTGGTCTCTATTTTAGGAAGATTTTTCTTTGTTATATTTTCATAGCTCTATGTGTTTTTGGGAGGAGATTTCCACTGCTCTACTCACGCCGCCATCTTGGCTCCGCCCCCCTATTTTTCTTTTTAAATGGTGAATTTGTTTTGTTCTTTTAAACATTCTGTTACTTCTAAAAAATGTAGTAGAGACTGCCAAATTCTTCTCCAAAAAGATTGTAAGTGTACATTACCTCCAACCATATTTGTGTCTGCTAGTTTCTTCACTAGTACTTGTTCTTAACCTTTTAAACTTTTTTCTAGCATGGGTAAATAAATTTCTGTTCTAATGTACATTTCAAAAAGATTGATGAGATTGAGCAGTTTTGGTTTATTGATCATCGTGTGGTTTCTATTTATATCCTTTGTCCATTTCTTTGCATATTAAGGACATTATCTCTTTGTCATACATGTTGTATTTTTTCCCCAGGCTGCCTTTTGTCTTTATTGATGAGCTTTTTTTTTGCTCTCTACAACATTTTTGTTTTATTAATCTTTACCTTTGTGACATCTGGAGTTTAATACAATGATTAGAAGGGTTTTCCCTAGTTCAAGATTATAAAAATATTTGTGTTTCCATCGAGTACTTCTGTGGGTTTGTTTTTACATTTAAATCTCTGTTCTGTCAGGAATTTTTTTCTCAGTGCTCCCTTCATTTTCCGGTTACAGATGCAAAGTTAGTTTGTCCACTACCATTTATCAAACACATGTGTCTTCTCTCCCCTGCTTATCATATGCGTCCACCGAAACACCACACATTTTGGAGTCCTTTTTATCTGTTCCTATAGAAATTCCACACTGTTGTAATTACCATGGCCTTTATCTTTGAGCATCTTAGGGGTTAGTGTCTCTTCCTTGCTCTTCTTTTTCAGAATATTCATGGCTACTCTGGGATATTTATTCTTCCAGAGAACTTAGAGTCATTTTGTCAAGGTAAAAAATATTTATGAGATTTTGATTATGATTTCACTCAATTTGTAGATTAATGTAAGGAGTCTTTGTTCTCTTGACAATACTGAGTTTTCCTATCCAAGAACAAGGTATATTTAATTTATTCCTGTATTTTATTTATTTATTAATTCCTCATAAAATTCTGTAGTTTGTGCTAATTCTTTAAATTTCCACTGTTTTGGGTTGGTTTTCTTGAGTGTTTTAGGTATACAGTCACACACTAAGATAATTTTGCTTCTTCCTTTTTCATACCAACTTGCGCAACTCTTTTACCTAATTGCAGCAACTAGTACTTGACAGCTGTACTCAGTAATGGTGATGATGGCAGACATCCTTTTCTTGTTTCCTTACTTTATGTGAGTGTTTCTAGTACTTCATTATGTAGGAATCTTGCTTTTGGTTAGAGGTGTGTATTTTTTTAAGTCAGTTATGGTTGTAGAGTTTTATCAGATACTTTTCCAGTATCTGTTGTTGATGACCGTAACGTTTTGCCCTTTTTTTTTAAATGTTCTTCTGGAAGAGTATTTTTATTTGCTACTACTTGAAAATTTTGGCATCAGTATTCAAGAATGAGATCCATCCTATTATTTTCAGTTTAAGGGTGTCTAACAAACAACATATTATTGGTTTCCTATTTGTCTGTCTTGGGTGCTATAACAAAAATACCATAGGCTGGATGGCTTATAAACAACACTAAAGGCTGAAAGTTTAAGATCAGAGTGCCAGCATAGTTGGGTTCTGGCAAAGGCCCACTTTTGGGTTGCAGACTGCTGACTTCTTGCCTAGTCTTTATATGGGTGGAAGGGGCCAGCAAGCTCTCTGGAGCCTCTTTCATGAGGGCATGAATCCCATTGTCCTAACCACCTCCCAAAACCGTCAGCTGGACAGGGGCGTGGACAGTGTGGACATAAACACATCATAGCAAGTTCCTTTTTGCAGTCTCAGAGGTTCTTTTATATCATGTTGTTACTCTTAGTCTGTTTGCTGTTGGTCAACTTTTCCTTCTATTAAATTTTTTATTTCCTTTCTCACATATTGTATGTGGACTATGTTTGAATGTGTCTGTTACACAAAGTCAGTTTGGAAAGTCCTGAGATTAAAACAAATTACTTCTATTCCTTAAGTCTGCCTCTTATGGAAGATAAAGAATACTTTTGACTTTGTTCTCTTTTCTCAGCTTTTCCCATTCTTCAATAATTCACCTTAATGTTCTGGAACCCTCTCTCTCTTCATTAGGCTATTATCTACATCTTTTGCCAATAATTTATTTTCACTAGAACTTTATTACTCACTTTTAACTAATATTTCCAACTTCTTTCTCTTTTATTAGCAAGATGACCATTTGTAAATTCTGAGAGACAAGGAGTTTGATTTAAAATCACAATCATTTCAATACTTGAATATGAGACCCAGCCTAGAAACACATGCCCATAAGCTCCAGAATGTTTGAAAAGACAAGTTGTTGCCAAGTTTTTTTGGGGAAAACCCACAAAATCAGCCTAAGAGCAAAATGTATTAGATTTCAAGCTACCAAGGACCAGTTGAGCAACGATTTAAACAAAGGTGAAAAGGGAAAGTCTTTGTTTTCTGAAAGATTGAAGGAGAGGAAATGTTTTAAGACTATCACGGTGGAACAGACCAACAATTCTAGGTTATTTTGGAAGTAACTGATTTCTTATGTGTTTACGTACAGTACTCAGTGCCAGTTGTGTTGTCTCTCTGCTAACCCTATTTTCTAGGAGACTGACTTTGTCAGTGAAAATTCTCAGGAACATAACCAGTTGTATCCCTACTTAAACTGCTTGGAGAGATAACCAAACCTTTTCCCCTTTCTTTTCTAAGGAGGTGTTTATTTTCCTTGAAAAACAGAGAGGCCCTCCTTCCCTTTTTCATGAAGTATATCCTATTCTTAGACTACAGAAAATTGAAATAAGCAATTAAAAAAAATTATAAGTTGGGGACTTCTAGTTTAAGAAAGAAAATGACTTTTCAGAGTAGTTCACAAGGTAAAATAATACTTTTTATTTGTAGACAGTAAATTATGGCTCAAAGTGTACTTTTCTTCTTTTTCTTAGCATTTCCAGTCCTGGTTGTGTGTATGTGTGTAAACGTTTTTTTAGCATTATAAATTACAAAAAGTAAAGTTATTATTTACAGCCAAAATATTTGTTGCATTTAACCTTAGGAAGAGACTGCCAATATTAAACAACTAAAATTATGTTAATTTTAACTTTGATTCAGCAGCATCTTGTATAACTTGATGCCTGTGTTTACTATTCTAAGGCAGTCAGAAGTAGTGTGTGGGTACCTCATATACTTAGGTTTGGGATTTTTTTTCTTTGCCTTTAAAGAAAAATACGTGGAAATAGGCTTGTGTTTGTGAATGTATGTGTGTGTTGGAGTTGCTCATAGCAGTGTCTAAACTTGCTGTTCAATAGAAGACTAATAGATAATACGCATATTTGATTACAGGTGTCCCATTTCCCAAAAACTTTATGTCTGTGGCAAAGACCATTCTGAAGCGTCTGTTCAGAGTTTATGCCCATATTTATCACCAGCACTTTGATTCTGTGATGCAGCTGCAAGAGGAGGCCCACCTCAACACCTCCTTTAAGCACTTTATCTTCTTTGTTCAGGTAAGTTGAACATGTTGACTAATATGTCCTTTGACTTGAACGAAAGCACTTTATAGAGTTTATTTATAGAAGAACAAAGTACAAGCAGGTTTCTCTTTCTGTTCTCTTTTCCACACTGTTTATTTCATTGATGTGCATAGCGGCCAAGTCTCTGGTTAGAATATGACAGGGAGCACCAAAAACCTGAGAAAGCTTGTCTCTACCCTCCCGTTCCCCTGCTACTGCTGGGTGAAGGAATACTATGGAAAAACATCTGTGGTTGGGTTATTTAATGAGATGTCTATGTCTGGAAAAGAAACTTTTGGAAGAATTTGTTAGTTGCTGTCTTGGGTTAAATTTCCAGAAGTCCCTTTCGAGCCAGATCTTAATCAACTAAGCCACTAGAAACTTCAGAAAGGACCATTGCCTTCAAAGATGTGGCCTTATTGCCTTATGGGCCCGTAGTTGAAATTGGGACTTACTAAAATCAAAATAATTCACATTCTTTGAAAAAGATATAAAAGAATCAGGACTCCTTAACCTAACTTTAGAGCTATATAATTCCATGTGCAAAGTATAAATAGGTCCATCTAGATGTTTATTGGTGGAAAAACCAGTAGCTTAATAGTAGATACTGTATTATGGTTTTGTGTAGTACAAAATGGAGAATATACTGTGCTCTTCTGAGATTATTTGCATGACATAGATGTATAGAGTATATATAGAGTATAGATAGATACAGAGATAATAGATATATTTAATTAAAAGGTCCACTGCCCCAGAGGTGGCCATTGTCAAGGTTCAGTGTAGTTTTCAGGTAATTTCCTTGTAAATGCAAACATACATAGTTTTTATTTTAATATTCTACACAGTTGAATGTCATGCTAATACATACAGTTGCTTATTTAATAAGTCCTCCTCATCTTAAAAAGGGAGCAGAATGGAGAATGTAACCAGTGATTCTGTAACATCTTCCTATGTTGACAGACATCTGTACTACTGGGGGTGAGAATTTAATAATGTGGATGGGGAACTGTTGAACCACTGTGTTGTATACTTGGAACTAATATAAGATTATATATCAATAAAAATACATAAAATTAATTTTAAAAAGTAGAAAGGGAGCACAAATGACCCTATTTTAAAATGTTCACAGAGATCATTTCATTCTTTTTTTTTTTTTATTGGATTTCAGAAAACTAGAATTGGGAATCCCTCTTACATTTAGAGTTTTAATTTTAGATCTATTTTAAAATTTTATTTTTCTTCTCTTTTAGGAGTTTAATCTGATTGATAGGCGTGAGTTGGCACCTCTTCAGGAATTAATTGAGAAGCTTGGATCAAAAGACAGATAAATGTTTCTGCTAGAAGTTACTCTCTTGCTTTATCTGCCACTAGAGCTATCTCATTGCTATCTGTTGTAGACTAGTGATACAAACTTTTAAGAAAGGATAAAAAGACACCTGTTGTCTGTTATCTCATCATAAAACTGTCCCAAAGGTAGGTTGGCCTAATATCTTCTGAGTGAGAAACTTAGAGCACAGCTGATCTGAAGCACTGTGTGACCACTCCTGTTACTGTCAGTCATACTTGGCAGTTAATATGTGATTACTCACCTGTAGTTTATTACTTTACTTATTATTCTTTTACTTATGAAAATAAATCTGTTTCAAGTAACAGCATAATGGATGTTAAGAATTTCCACCAATAATTTATTAAGTTTCCAGAACAGGTTAATCTAAAAATGCAGTCAAATCAGTTTTATTCTGCTTTTATTTTACAAACAGAAGAATTATTTTTTAATTTAAGATTTGGAACATTTGTGTCACTTTGGATAACCTTTTAGTTTGAAGTTTGTATGCTAGTGTTTTTATAGATAAGAATATGTATGTTTATTTTTTTTAAATCCATGATTACAATTTGAGTCTTCATGTGACTTGTGGTATGGCAGTAACCAAAGTTATTTCTAAAATGACTCTATTTTTTTGATCTTTATTTGGGATTTTATTTACGTAAGCCTGTCTAAATTTTTAGGAGTATGTATGTATCAAATAATTTTTTTAAGGCATCTCAGAATGGTCTTACAGATTTTTTGAAACGCTTCATTCAGGTTAATTATAATATATAGTTTTGGGCTGAGATAAAACTTCTTCAAAAATTGACAACAAATTTACACTTTAAGACCATTGTTTTCACATTCACATTGTTTTTCAGACACTTTGGAATTCTGGATAGAATGGAAGTACTCAGCACTTGATTTTGGTTTTGAGTTGAGTTTTTATTGTGACTTGAGACTTAGTTAAGAGTAGTATAGAAATGCACAAACTTTATCCCAACAAGGATAAAACTTAAAGAAAACCACGATAAAAAACCTTGAAGGTGTACACATTTTATAACACAGCTAAAAGTTTGGTATGTTACCTATTCTTGTGTGTGTATGTGTGTACATGCATATGTGTAGACAAAATGGAAGGAATTAATAAATCAAAAATCTTAACTTCATTCTATTAGTATAAGGATGGATTGAGCCCCCATCGGGGTTTTATCCTATTTTAATTGTTTTTGTATCAAAACTCAAAATTTCTTCTATTTCTATTGGGATTAAAAGAATTTTCCCCTTTAGTGAAGAAAATACCTAATTTTCATTTGGTTTCTAGTATTCAGTAAACTCTAGCTGACTGTTTAAAATGTACTGAAACATAAGTATACTAAGACGTGCCAGATTGGCTACACATTGAGTTCGTCAGTGTCCTGTGTCTTAAGAGTCGTGATGTTTGCAAAGTACTCAACCAATTTCCTTGATGGTTTGATAAAGGTTAGATTTCATTTTTCGTTACTTGTATTTATTCCACTAGAGTATAGAAACTCCATTTTTACAGTAACTCAATATCAATAAATTATTAAGTATATCTAAAATTTTAGAGGAAAAGTATTTCATCTAACTTAGGCTGATACCAGTAATTAAAGAGTTGAATAATCATGGAAAAAAGAGAAAAAGCCCTCTATGAAACATTCCACAGTCCACATTTGAAGCTTATCTAAAGGTCCCTGTCAGGAGCTCTGTATGTTTATATTGGTTATTTACACACAAGAAAGCAGGTTTCTAGATGCCACCTAGAATGTTACCACCTCTTGACTTTAAACCTTGTTGGCTTTAAGTCTGTAATGAAATTATATTTCTCAGCTAGGTTTGTACTTTCATCATCATTTCTAATATTTCAAATATTAGAACCTCAAAAGGGTTTTCACTTTTCTTGGTTTATTTTCAGTGGTAGAAATCCTCCCTTCCTTCATGATTCAGCCCTAAAACAAACCGAAGATGGTTACATGTTAGAATGGTAGTAAAGGCAGCTTATCAATGGGACATAAAAATTTGTTGGTAACTTGAGACTCAGAATTTTTTTTTTTGGTATCATTAATATAAAATCACATGGGCAACACTGTGGTTACTAGAGCCCCCCCATTATCAAGTCCCCACCACATACCCCATTACAGTCACTGTCCATCAGCATAGTAAGATGCTATAGAGTCACTACTTGTCTTCTCTGTGCTATACTGCCTTCTCCATGCTACCCCCACCCCCAGAATGTTTTCAAAAGCCTGGAAATTTAAAAATTACCAGATCCCTAAACTGATCTGGCTTAACCAACAATGTACAAAACCAGTAATGTTAACATTGTATCTAAGGTCAGAGAGTTGAGGGCAGAAGTGGAGGAAAGGAGAGGAGGATACCTTCCTGGCTCAGCCAGACTTTGGTAAGAGTTGGAAGAAATGTCTATCTTGGACTCCTCTTACCTTTGATTCATCTCCCTGTGCCCAGGGTTTGTCTGCCTTTTCGACAACACTCAGTCCCCTCCCCTCTCAGATTCCAGAGTTGTCTCTGGTGCTGACAGCTGCCCCTCAATGCCTGATGAAAGGCAGAGGGCGTGCCTGTTGAATCATGCGGTCAGGCTGGTTGAACTTTAATTTCCAGGCTTTAAAGTCTTGTAGACAGTGATAGCAGATCTTTATTTAAATATTGAAACTTCCTTGTACTGTTTTTGTATTGACAGCAAAATGTACCCTTTATTCTTCAGACTAAGTAGTGACTTTAGAGGGTTGCCATCTAATCTCATCATAGGCTGTAGAGCCCTAGTTTACGTAACTGCCTACAGAAATACAAGTCTGAATCCATCATGACTCTGGTGCCAACAAAAGGAGAGGTTTCCTAGTAGTGCAGAGGCAAGAGGAGCAAACCTGGTGGTGATTTTAACTTGCAAACATTGTTGAGGTTTGCTGATCATACAGCTGGCCTTCTCTCTGAGCAGTGAGGTTTTCCAAAAGTGGAGCTGCTTCATGCAATATCACCTCACAAGCATAAACAAATCAGGCCCAAAGATTGTATAAATCTTAGAAATTGGTTTCTAAACAGCCCCAGTCGGTGTGCTTGTGTTACCTGCCTAGCTATATGCCTAGCTGTAGGAGGCTGTCCTGGCCCTGGAGCTCTGGCATAAAAAATGTTGGCTGGGACTGTGCACCTTCAACAGGGACATTATTTCCTCCAGGTACCAGTTCATCAGTAAGTGGATTTGGTTTATACTATTGTTGAATTCTTACAAAGAGGGAAGTGTCCCTCAGTCTTCCTGTGTTTTTGCATTAGGTTTTGGTATTTTAGACTGAAAAAGGCTTTGGGGATATAGATATTATGTGATTGCAGTAATTTTATTGACATAACTGCACTGAAATTCACTTGAGTGTTTTCTCATCAGATTCTGTTCCAAACAAGTATTCTGTAAATCCAAATGGATAATCAGTATGCTGTAGATTTATTATAGAACAACATTCTGTGTTTGTGGAATAGTTTGCATAAGTTAGTGTTGTTTACCATCTAAAATATTTGAAAATGTTCTTTACATGAAAATTTATGTTGTATTTTTAAACCTTTATGGGCTTTATCTATTTTTCTAAGTCAGTTAACTGTACTTTTTAAAAAAGTATTTTGTATCTACTTTTGTAACTTCATCAGAATAAAATATATTGAAAGAAAGAAAAGACTAATTAAAGTTAAGTGTCTCAACACGTATCTATTTAAATGTGGAACTTGAGATTTTTGCAGCTTCTGTGGAAGGCTGTCTTCACTTACATTTAGTAGGTACTCTTAAAGGGAAGTTCCTAAATGAAGTAAATGTTTTGTAACACCAAGAAACAAACTATGCCTGGAATTATGGTGGCTAAAACCCATCTCTGACAAGAAGTAAACAAGTTGGCTTCCTGCCAAGACCTTGACCTCGTCTGCACATTCCTGGGTGTGAGACTGGGAAGACAGACTGGACTTAACTAATTTTCTTACCCTGAAATTGAGTACTAAGCATATCTGCAAGACACCACCCACCCCAAACAGTGATTTTTCATTACTGTAGGGGAAATTAGATTTATTTTTAGAGGTCCAAAGGATAGACACCTAATTGTAGGGTCTGTTCAAAATAGTACTGGAATTTTGACCTTTTTTGAGGAAGAGTTCAAATTAAAAACTAATGAATGTGGCCAGATAATATGGGTTGATACCAATTTTATATAAAATTTGGGTACATTAGTGATCAGTTTCAGAATTTTGACATTTCAGTGGGCTTAAAGTCCATCCTTAAGTTTGTAAGAATATCTAAAGGTTAAGTTTGAAGGCTATTTCAAACTTTATAAATGAGTAATAATATTTGGGAGGGCCAGAGTCAGGCTTTGAAGCTGCATAGCCAAAAACACTGCCCAAACAGTGCCTTGAGCCTTCTCTAGCAAATGCACCATTGCTGTTGGCTAGGAGTGGACACTGCAGCCTGCACCATTATCACTGGCCACTAGATGTCAGTCTTTGCATCAGCGTCTTCCAAAAGCTAGCTGGCCTCCACCCAGACCAGAAGCGAAATAGAGAATTGTAGCTAGCACCTCCTTTTGTGTGTCTTCTTAATGAAAAACAGGATGAGTGTCTCTTGATTGGCAGATCCTAGGCCACGTACCTGCGTTCTGGCTGTAAGACAGGCTGGGGAAAAGGATCTGGATTTTGGGGATTCAGGGCTTGCAACAAACTTGTTTCAAAGATGCTGGATGATCCTTGGGACTGGTTGCTTCTCTGGAAGCTTATTCCCGCTCTGTGAAAAGGAGTTTTCACTCGAATGTAAGTATCTGAGCACACTATTCTGCTTAGTTGACATTTTTTCATAGCACATTTGCTAAGTGAAAGAAGTAGATTATTGATTCTGTCCAAGCTCCTGTGGCTGACTAGCACTCTTAGGTATCACTTCTTCAGGGTAATCTACCTGTCTTAGGGGAGTCCTTTAGCAGGTCATCTCACTTTATCCTTACTGCAACCTGAGGAGGGGTGGTAATTGAGAAGTATGTTAGGAATTTTTCAGGTGGTGGTACAAAAGCTCAAGACTTGAAATAGCTAGCTCATAGCAAGGCAGGTCTCCGGTTCTCAGTTGCATTTGTAAAATTCTGTGTGCTCTTGAGTGCTAGGAAGCTGTATGAGATAAAATGTCTGCAATTAAAAATCCCAGTGACATAAAGAAGTATCTAAAGAGAGCTTCTCTAAAGTTACCTGTTAGCACAGATGCAAATACGAAACATCAGGGGCCCATGTAAGTGAAGATAAGGGAATCTAAAGTTAGGGCAAAAAAAGTGAAATGTAGAAGGGACAGACCCATTTCCTGGGACTAAAGGCATTACCCTTTTAGTAATAAAGTAAAATTGGCCTTTTAGTTGCTTCTACCATAAGAGAATATACTTGAACTGTTAGGCTGGAACTAATTCGGAAGCCCAAGATAGGTGGGATTCTTCTCCAAATCCTTTCCTGAAAAGGCTCAGATCATACTGGAACTAGAATTCCCGACCACTGTCAGTTCTGTTCAGTAATCACAGTGCAGACACTTTTTGTTCCATGCCATGCTGGGCTGTTGACACAGATAAGCAAGGTCCTACATGGATCTCATGGAGCAGTAGGAGAAACAGATACATAAACTGATAGTCTGAAAGGGCCATACATACCATATAAGTTATGCACAAGCTTTGGGACCCTTAGTTATGGGGCAGACAGGTGGCTCCCGGAGAGCTGGCTTAAACTGACTCATAAGATGGGCAACTGCATAACCAAACTTGTAGTATAGCTTGTACAGGGAGGTACAAACAGCCCAGTATTAGTGAAGGGTGCATTTCAGTTGGTCAGGTAGATAGGGGTTAAATCATATTAGAGAATTTGGGGTTCTGCCTTTAGGTGATGGAGGTCTGACAGATTTTTTTTTTAATTAAGGTATTGATATACAATCTTATGCTCAGGCTTCACATGAGCAACATTGTGGTTACTAGTTCCCCCCTATTATCAAGTCCCCACCACATACCCCAAGACAGTCACTGTCCATCAGCATAGTAAGATGCTAGAGTCACTACTTGTCTTCTCTATGCTATACTGCCTTCCCTGTGCCCCCTCAATATCACTGTGTTAATCATAATACCCCTTAATCCCCTTCACCCTCCCTTTATCCCCACCTCCTTCCCTTTGGTAGCTGCTAGTCCCTTCTTGGAGTCTGTGAGTCTGCTGCTGTTTTTTGTTCCTTCAGTTTTTGCTTTTATGCTACACAGAAGAGTGAAATCATTTGGTACTGTCTTTCTCTGCCTGGCTTATTTCACTGAGCATAACACCCTCTAGCTCCATCCATGTTGCAAATGGTAGGATTTGTTTTCTTATGGCTGAATAATATTCCATTGTGTATATGTACCACATCTTCTTTATCCATTCATCTACTGATGGACACTTAGGCTGCTTCTATGTCTTAGCTATTGTAAATAGTGCTGTGGTAAACAGGTACATATGTCTTTTTGAATCTGGGATCTTGTTTTCTTTGGGTAAATTCCTAGGAGTGGAATTCTTGGGTCAAATGGTACTTCTATTTTTAGTTTTGTGACAAACCTCCATACTGCTTTCCACAATGGTTGAACTCATGTACATTCTCACCAGCAATGTAGGAGGGTTTCCCTTTCTCTGCATCCTAGCCAGCATTTGTTGTTCCTATTCTTTTCTATATTGGCCATCCTAACTGGTGTGAGGTGATACCTCATTGTGGTTTTAATTTGCATTTCCCTGATAATTAGTGATGTGGAGCATATTTTCATGTGCCTGTTGGCCATCTGAATTTCTTCTTTGGAGAAGTGTTTGTTCAGATCCTCTGCCCATTTTTTAATCGGGTTATTTGCATTTTGGGTGTTGAGACATGTGAGCTCTTTATATATTTTGTATGTTAACTCCTTATTGGATGTCATTTATGAATATATTCTCCCATACTGTAGGATGCTTTTTTGTTTTACTGATGGTGTCCTTTTCTGTAGAAGCTTTTTAGTTTGACGTAGTCCCACTTGTTTATTTTTGCTTTTGTTTCCCTTGCCCAAGGAGATATGTTCATGAAAAAGTTTCTCATGTTTATATTCAAGAGAATTTTTTTCCTATGTTTTCTTCTAAGAGTTCTACGGTTTCATGACTTACATTCAGGTCTTTGATACATTTTGAGTTTACTTTTGTGTGTGGAGTTAGACAGTAATCCAGTTTCATTCTCTTACATATAGTTTTGCCAACACCAGTTGTTGAAGAGGCTGTCATTTCTCCATTGTATGTCCATGGCTCCTTTATGATATATTAACTGGCCATATATGTGTGGGTTTATATCTGGGCTCTCTATTCTATTCCATTGATCTATGGCTCTGTTTTTGTGCCAGTATCAAATTGTCTTGATGACTGTGGCTTTGTAGTAGAGCTTGAAGTTGGGGAGCATAAAGTCCCCCACACCTTCCAAGGAATTGTTCCTTCTAAGGATTGTTTTAGCTATTTGGGGTCTTTTGTGGTTCCATATGAATTTTAGAACTATTTGTTCTAGTTTGTTGAAAAATGCTGTGGATATTTTGATAGGGGTTGCACTGAATCTGTAGATTGCTTCAGGCAGGATGGCCATTTTTACAATATTAATTCTTCCTATCCATGAGCAAGGGATGTATTTCCATTTATTAGTGTCTTCCTTAAGTTCTCTCAAGAGTGTCTTGTAGTTTTCAGGGTATAGGTCTTTCACTTCCTTGGTTAGGTTTATTCCTAGGTATTTTATTCTTTTTGATGCAATTGTGAATGGAATTGTTCTCTTGATTTCTCTTTCTGCTAGTTCATTGTTACTGTATAGGAATTTAACAGATTGCTGTGTATTAATTTTGTATCCTGCAACTTTGCTGAATTCAGATATTAGTTCTAGTAGTTTTGGAGTGGATTCTTCATGGTTTTTTACATACAGTATCATGTCTTCTGCAGACAGTGACAGTTTAACTTGTTCCTTGCCAATCTGGATGCTTTTTATTTATTTGTGTTGTCTGATTGCTGTGGCTAGGACCTCCAGTGCTATGTTGAATAAGTCTGAAGGATTTTAAGTAAGCAAATAATGGGCAGGTTTTCCTTTCAGATGGTTCTGACAGCAATGTGGAAACAGTTTGCATAAGTAAGAGAAGGATAAGGGCAAAGTGACAGTAATCCAAAATAACACATTGTGAGCAATTGTTAAATTATGGGGAAGAAGAAGTTTGGAGATAAATGAAAGTACTGGAAAGGAGGAGGAATTCTGTAAATATAAACCAGTGAGTTTAACACAGGTCTCAGTTACACGTGACAAACCCAACTAAAATATCTTTGGTGATCATCTTTGGCACTGCATGTTTCCAGCTGCATAAACACCACACATGATTCTGCTCAGCACTGTTTCTGTCTGTTTCATTTCCAAAGTGACACTGCTCATATGACTGCAGACAGGCTTCCTACTAGTTTAGCAATCCAGTTGCAAATGATCATTTCTTTTCCCTAGTTCCATGAAAGTCCCTAGACCAACTCTCCCTGGTCTGGGCCAGGTCATGTGACTAACCCTAACCCAACCCCTAGGCCTGACTGGAGAGACCCGGGTCATGTGACTAGTAGAGCTTGGGAGGGTTTGCCTTATTTGAAATGTGGTTTTTGAGTAGCAAAGGGGTGGTTTACCACCAGCTGATGGAAAAAGTATTTTGGCAATTCCAATTACATCAATGAAGAACAATTAAAAGCAAATTATCCCTAATTTCACCTACCATGATTTGTAAGAAATCATGTAAGGCTATTGCAGTAATCCAAAGGAGAAACATCAAGGGCCAAAAGATAGGAGTTACTCAATACAAGAAGGAATGAGCAAATTTTTAGCTGACAGCTTTTAAGAACAACTGAGGGTCTTGCAACCCATCCAAGTGCACGCTGAACATACCAGTTGCATAGGCTGGAATGCAATAGCAAAAAGAGCCGGTAAAGCCTTTAGGGTATACCGGACCACATGCAAACAAATACTGCTAGAAAGGAGGAGCTTGAATTTCGGCCTTGACGTCTGTGTGAAGAATACCGGAGACGAGCCGGCTAAGTCTGCCTATCTTACCCATCCCTCTTGGCTTCAGCTTCCACGCCATTCTCAACACTCCATGGTCTGTGGCTCCAGACTGCGCCTCTGCTGGGCCCTGTCTGGCAGGCACCTTAAACTCAGGTAAATTCAAAACTGAGTTGGCCCCCTTCACCCCTAAACTTAGGCCTCCTCCACCCCCACCACTGGACAAGCCAGAAAAGACGCCCTCCACACCCCTACCCCTCCGTCCAGTCTCTCATTCTCCGCCCCGGCCACCCCCACCCCCAACCCCCCATCTCAGTTCATCCACGTATCCGTGCAGCGCCCGCAGCTCGGATTCAGGCCTCAAGTCTCACCTGGGCCGTGCAACAGCCTGGGAAACTTCCGTCCTTGCCTCCAAGAGCAGCCCTATACACTCCTCCTCTCAGGAGCCAGTGATCTTTCTGAATCGCGAATCTGAAAACGACTCCCCTGCTTTAACTCCTTCCATGGCTCCCCTTTCTGTAGGGAGAACACAGAGTTCCTCAGTTTAGAAGCCAGTTGCCGGCGGTGTAGAGTAGGAATGGATTCGCTCTACGTGGGGCACCAGGGACCTTGGGACCAGGGAAGGTCAGCAGACAGGGCCGAGCTCCCCGGACGTGTTTCTGGGCAGAGGAGGGCCGGTGGGTGGAGCCAGCCCCGGGAGGCGCAGACCTGCAGCGGCGGGGTGGCTCGGGGCCTCCGGGCGGTAGAGGGCGGCCTCGCCTGCGGCAGCGGCTCTCGGAGTCCAGCTCCGCGCCTTCCGGGCGACCCGGTGACCTCGGACGGCGGGCCGCGTCGGCCGGGCATGGCGGCTTGGAGCCCGGCCGCGGCGGCGCCTATGCTCCGCGGGACGCGCGGGGTGAGAGCGGGCAGGGCCGGGCGCTCTCCAGGGGCGGGGGCTGCGGAGGGCCGGCGGGGTAGGCCCCTGCCGGCGCGAGGGCTGAGGGCGCCGCGCAGGCCCCGAGGCTGCCCCTTCCTTTCTCTCTTCCATTCATTCACTCGTTGACTCGGTTCGCTGGGCCCCGGCAGCCGGCGTTCGGGGAAATGTAGGGCCCCGGCGCGCCGGGGAGCTCACGAGTCGGGCGGAGGTTGGGGGCGAGCGGAACAGACACACGAACAGCCATAGCACGGTGGGCACGGAAAACGTAGTGTGGGACCTACCGAGCCGAAGCGTGGAGCCGCGGCCTGGGGTCACGGCGTGGGCTCTGGAATGCCCGCCCAGCCTCTGTGACCCTGACCCCCGCAGACCCAGAGGGCGCTCACCACGCGCGCTCCTAATTTTCCCTCCCCCTTTGTGAGTGTTTGCTCACTCCATCCACCTCTTTCACTTTTCTCTCACGTTCTTCTTTCTCTTCTGCTGCTCTTGAACCTGCCTCCGGCAAGCATGGCCGGCAGCTTTACTGGTGACTTGCAGCGTGCACACGCGGCATTCTGGGGATTTTGTCAGTAGATTGCTCTTTTAACGCAGCTGCCCACCGATGAGCTAAGATGAAGGGTATCAGCAGTGCTAACCACCCTTACACCTTAATGATCACCGCTTCTGCCGGCCTCTAACCCTTTCTTCGTTTGCACCCAAGGTTCTGTCCTCAGAAGAGGTCCAGCCCACCCCAATCTTACCTAGGCCCGCAACATCAAGTTTCTGCCTCTCTGCAGAACCCTCAGACAGCCTCAACCCGGGTCTTTCTCCTGACCTGCATTTCAGCTGCCTGCTGGAAAACAGACTTCTTTGCAGGTGCCCAGTAGGCATGCCTCAAATTGTGTGGTTCTTCCTTGCTCATTCATTCATTCATCCATCCAACACCCAAGTCCTCCCAAGGGCCTGCCCTGGGCTTAGCCCTGGAAGGCTGCAGTAACAGCACAGGCTCTGTGTTGGCCTTTGAGATCAGTTGGTAAAAGAGTGAGGGCACAGGCCATTTTAAAGGAGGTGCTCTGCGATTCTATAACACAGGCCTGCTCTGCGCTATTATGAAAGGCCTGAGGATGGGTAGGATTGAGGAGTGAAGGGACAGTATGTTCAGCACCAGCCCTCAATGAATAGCGCTGGTGTTCTACCACCTGCCACCCTTTTGATGCCTCTTACCTGGCATCTTTGCTGACTGGCTTCAATAGGCATTGCTTCACATAGGTTACTTTGGTATTAAGAGGCCTGTCTAACAAAAGTCCAAAATCTTTAGCCTGATGTTCAAGGCCTGCCATGCTTTATTTTCTGTATCCCTTTTTAGCATGTGCTCAAACTGGCCAAAGGGCTGCCAGCCGGTTTTGTGCTCCTTCCCCTCTCAGCGTTGAGACACGTTCCCATCAGAAATGTTGGCTTCCTGTGGTAGCCAATGGGGAAGGCAGCAGCGGTGTTGCCAATAGTAAATATCTAAAGGTGCTCCTCCTCCAGGTCATCATACAGAGAACTGCTTCTCCCCAGTAAGAATCAGTACACTTTGCCAAGGGTAGCTGGCTTATTGAGCAGTGGGTCACAAGGTTGCATCCCACTGCAAGAGTGTGGAATGTTAACCAGGCCTAAAGGAGGGTGGCATTTGGCCCCTCCTGATATTGATCCTCACAGCCTTATCATGGGGAGTTAAACATCTATGGAATTAAGTGTGGGGCCTTGTCTCTAGAGTCAAAGTGAGTTCCTTACAATTCCATCCCCCCTCAAGTTTATTCTGTCCTAGAGAGCTTAAAGGGACATCTGACATCACCCAGTCCCTCTGATTTTGCCCATGGCCATGTTGGCGAGGGCCTGGGGCCCTGCCTTGCAGGGAAGCAGCAGGTGGGGCCTGGACAGTGACCCGGCCCGGCCTGGGGGCAGCATCCTCTTTCTCAGGCATGGTTCTCCTCTGTTCCATGGCAGCTTCCTCTTCTCCACTGTGCCCAGCGGATGTTTGCCTCGCAGACTGAGGGGGAACTCAGAGTGACCCAAATTCTCAAAGAAAAGTTTCCTCAAGCCACAGCTATCAAAGTCACCGACATTTCAGGTCAGGTTTTCTCCTGTCTTTCCCAGAGTTTGGTAGGATTTTGCCCTTCAGAGGGACAGAGAGAGAGCAGGGGGCTTGGCAGAAAGAATGTGCCATCCACAGCTTCTCAATATGTGTGGCTTTTGGACACATGGCACTTGGCCTCTGCCTCATGGGGTAGAGGTGGGCAGGCAGAAACATGGGAGGAAAGCTGTGGGGACAAGTCCCGGCTGGGAGGACTCAACGCTTGCTGGCCTGGGCCAGGTTGGATGAGGTCACCCTTGGGCTCAGCTTTCCAGTCTTTAATTTGGCTTCGAGCTGAGCCTTATTTTAATTTCCCCACATTCTTCTGACACCTAGAATGTCAGGGCTGGGTGCAGACCTCAGGAGGATTTTGTCCTTTTAAGGAAAATAACTGCCTTGCTTTCGCCATGAAGGGATAAGCCCGGAGAGGGCAAAGAACCAGGACCCAGGGCAGACTCTGTCACGAGCCCAGTTAGCAGCCTCGGCCAGGCCCTGCCTTTCTCAGATGGTTCAGGCTGGCTGTGTTAGAGCAGGCTGGGGACTTGGCCTCTGCACCCACAGGCCAGAGATGTGGGGCCTTTATCCAGACACACACGTGGACTGCCTAGTCATGGGCAGTGAGATAGGCATCCACCTGACACAGTCTTTGGCTTCTCTGACAATATAACATTTACAAGGATTGGGAGAAAGTTAAGGAAGTAGTTTTTGTTCTGGAAACTATAGGAAATTAATCAGTCCAAAGATCCATGGGAATAGTGAGTTGGGTGAGTAGGCCAGTGCTGAGGCCTTGATATCACCAGTCCTGTACCTGCCACAGACCCAAGCAGGGCAGAGCTGGAAGTTGACCTCCAGTCTGGCGCTGCCCAGCTCTGGACAGAATGTAGAAAGGGAATCAAGGCCAGGAACCTTGGTTTAACCAAAGGTTAATTTGGACTCCTGGAGAACGTAAGAGAAGGGTGGCAAAGCCTATTAAGTAAATTGCACTTGTCATACAATGGCCTGGGGTGAACAGCACAGGGGACAGTCTTTTTTGGTCACACTGGTTTATGCCAGAGCAGCCTGTTTGCATCAGTCATTAGCAGTCACTCTTCAGTGCTGTGGAGACAAAGCTTGGGCAGGGGGATGTGTCTCCTCCAAGCTCTGCTAGGAGGCTCCATCAGAAAGCTGCACCCTCCCTGCGGGAGCCCAGGCAACACACTCGGTGTGGCCTGGGGGCCAGGAGGTGCAGGAGGTCCCTGAGTGCTCCAGGACCAGCACGTCACGGTCTCTGGGATGCGGTGTCCCTGTCCCTCTCATGCTTCCTTGTTCCTTTTTTTCTCTTGGATGATATCACACAGTATTCAAAACAAGTTTCAGTGTATTTTTGCACTTTTAAAAATACCAATTGCTAGACACTAAAATTCAGTGGATTCCAATTCCTCCCATCCTCTTCCATGGTATTTTGGCCTAGTAAAGAGAAATGCTAGGAAAGCCTACATTTCATAGGTTTCCCATGCTTTGTGCCTTATTATTCCTGCCCCACAAGCAATAGTCTTGGGTCGTGTAACTGCCCTTCAAAACAAAGGGCACATTTTGGATCACAGCAGCCTGACAGAAGAGTAAGTGGAAAGATTATAAGCCATGATCATTTCCTAACAGTCTTAGCAGCTTCTTGCTGAATAATAATATTCAGACCTTTTTATATTGTACGGTACTTCAGGGACATATGGGATGTGGTTGCTATAACTTTAATAACTGAAACATTTTTGAATTATGTTTATTTCAGGAGGCTGTGGAGCAATGTATGAAATCAAAATCGAGTCAGAAGAATTTAAGGAGAAGAGAACTGTTCAGCAGCACCAGATGGTAAATCAGGTCAGTAAAGGTAACTATGTTCCTTTGCTGCTGGCCTGCAGTGTTCAGCAGGGCCTGCTGAGTGGGGATGGTATTTTACTGTCAGCCCTAGGAAAGAAGAATGCAGAAGCACAGTCATGCAAACTGGACTCAGGACCTGAAGAAATATATATTATCTGGAACTAATCTGAAATCAGATTGTGGGCAAATACAAATTTTATTCAGAATTGTAAACAAGCCACCCAATAGTTATTTTGCCTTTCCTTGAATACTCACAATGATTGCTGTTATTGTCACATACTGAATAGTATTTGGAAACTTAGGAGTCCTGAAAGGTATGTTTTTATAGATCTGAAGATTATTTTCTAGCTTCTCTTTAGGACTGCTTTACAGATGGGTAAATTGAGGCATAGCATGATTGAGAATTGCTCCAGCTGCCCCATACCCAGTGACAGAACATGAGGGATCTGGAACATCAGATTTAACTAAGGCCCAGTTTATACGTCATCTATGCTTATTTTGTACTTGGAATTTACAGCAGCCTTGACCCCTGGCCCTGTGTCTATAAACTTGCCCCTTTCAGTAGGTGTGTTGAAATCATTCTGGAAGGTCTTGCACGTTGTGAACTAGTTTAACTTTGGTGAAGCACAGCTCTGGTCATGAGCGTCCCTCTGCGGCCCCTTCTACATCGAGCCTTTCCCCACCTTTCTTTGTACGAACCCTCCCTCAGCCCCTGCCCAGTGTCTTTCCTGTGTGTCTGGACCTTTGCCCAGGTTGGGCCTCCTGCCTGGGTTCCCTTCCTGCCTTCCTCCACACAGCTCAAACGCCATCTCCCCTACCTGGCAGGGGACAAATGCCCCTCTACCCTCTGACTCTAGTGTTTTCTGCCCTGTGACCTGGATACTTACATCCCTGCTGTCTGCCCCTAGTTCTGTCAGCCCTTGGCAGGCAGTTCCCTTCTGGGTCCGTCTTTGGATTCTTCATGGAGTGAAGTTGTGGGTACCTAGAAGGTATGCTGGTGGTCCGGGGCGGAACAGCAACCACTTCCCTCATCCAGAAGTGCTTCTGGCACCATGCGATCTTAGGGGTTGGAGCCAAGTATAAGACGAAGCAGGAAAGAGCTGACTGGCCCAGATCATCCCCAGCTGGTCAGGGTGCCTAGTGTGACCAGACTCCCATGGGTGCTGTTAATTTGAGTGCATCCCCTGGCCTGAAGCCACAGTTACAAGTGGTAAGGATGCAGGGTCTGGAGTCAGACTGCCTACATTTCAAATCCAGGCTGTGCTACTTTCTAGCTGCGTGACCTTGAGCAAGTTACTCAGCCTCCCTCTGCCTCAATTTCCTCATCTGTTCTGGGGAGAGTAACCGAACTTGCCTCAAAAGACTGTTGTTGGGGTTAGTGATGAAGTACATGTAGAGCACCGAAAACAGTCTGACACATAATAAGCCCTCAACAAATGTCAGCTGCAGCCCCCGCCCATCCATCATCATCATCATATATGACACTGGGCATTACCTGCACCATGTCTGGCAGAAGGGGAGCACTTCCCTGGGCTTGTGGTAATGTCACCCCAATCATCTTGGGCGAAGGCTACCTCTGGGCCGCTACAGGAAGGAATTGCATCCTAGCAGGAGAACCTTGCTCACTTGTTCGCCGTCCCCCTGGGAAGCCAACCCAGTGTAGGCTGGGCCTGGGTCTGTTCTATTCACAGCTATGTCCCTGACACCTGACAAAGGGCCTGGCACCTAAAGCTGCTCAGTCAGTGTTTGTCGAATGTGTGCAGACAGTAGGGAAAGCTGGCCTGCATTTGGCTTTTGACTTACAGAGAATTCAAATACTGGGTGCCTGCGAGGTGTGCCATTTCAGAGAGTTCACCTCCTAGCACTGGCATGCTTGTGACCGGGGTTACCATAGCAGCTGAGCTGCCTTGCCTGCCCAAGCACTGCTTGTCCTGGGCACCCCATGCAGTTCCATAGCCAGGCGACCATCACTGGCCGGAATGGGTTAGCAGGGGAGGAATGGCACCCTGGAGCCTGGCCACAGCAAGGCTGTACCGAGGCTCACATTAGCCACCGCAAGCTGTTAGGGCTCTAGTACGTATATCTCAATGTACCAATGTGCTTGTGGGCATTTTCAGAGGGTTACATTTGCAGATGGTGGCCGTGAGAGTCGTGTGGGAGGAGTGAAGTGAACCATCTGTAAGAACGAGTCTGAACTGGGCCTGGCATGAGCTGCCCGTCTTTTAGAGGTTGGGAGTCCAGGTTCTGAGTCCATCTGTGGCAGATGTACGTTGCTTTCCCTTTCCATGGTTCTCCCATGCCTTTCTCTCCTGTGCTGTCAGCGTCCAGCATAATAGTAGGTGCTGAAAAATGTTACCCAGGCTATCTTTCTGTTGTGGGATACTTCCCTACCAGGTCCTCAGTTTCCTTAACTGTGAAGTACCCCAGGTGATCTGCAAGGCCCTCTGAGGCTATAAGGTCCTGTGACCTGCATTGGGGAGTCCTCAGAGGGTGTGGGCGAGCTGGGAGAAGGCACTGGGAGGGTTTTGAGGACAGGGCATGAGGAGTCAAGGCCTCATATGTGACAGTGTAGCTGGGCTGTCACCTAGCCAAGGAGGCTTGAAGGATGGTGGCCTAGGGACAGCCTCTAGGGAGCATTCCATGCCTGCAGAGAGCATTGTGGCCCCAGGCTGTGTGTCTGTCCCCCAGCGAGGACATGAGGATTTTCCATGGGACAGGTCTGTTTGTCTGCAGAGTTGAGGGGGCTTGTATGTGAATATGGAGATGGTGGGTGGCTCATCGGTTCCTAGCATCAGAATTGGACAGGAATGCAAGGGAAACCAGGAGGAAAGACATCAGGTCCAGTTCCTGATTCTGTTTCTCTCTTGCTTACTGACTTTGGACAGGGATGGCTTCTATTTCTCTTTTACCAAGGGAATGAATAGGACTATATTGTCTCTAAGGACCCTTCTGACTATAAGCCTGACCATATGTGTCAGAATTCTTTTTGCTGTGAGTGACAGATCAAGCTAAAACTAGCATAAGCACACAAAGGGTATTAACTGGGCCATGAATTTATCTGGTTTCTGGCATAACTAGATTCAGGTCCTAAACAAGTTCCTCTGCTTGTCCTCTTTCATATTCTTATTCTCTCTGTCTCTCTCTGAGCTTTCAGCATATCTCTGTGTGTTGGCCTTATGTTCTGTACTGGAAATGGACTTTCTCTTCTTGGTGGAGAACGTGGCCCCCACCTGCCTCCAACTGACAGTCCAGTGTAGTGACCCAAGGGACAAGGCGGCACATCGGAAAAGGCCAGTGAAAATTCTGATTGGCCCTGTTTGGGTCATGTGTCATCCCTGGACCAATCAGGCTGGGCCAGGTGCCACATGGCTGCCTGAATAGAGGCCAATTGGTAGTCCCACTGGCAATATACAAGTGAAGTGGAAAGGAACCATTCCCTAAGAGAAGGGAGATTGTGGGACAGTCTGGAAAAAACTGGCTACCCTACCGTGAAGATCAGGGCTGGGCCTAGTATAAAAGGACTTTGTCTCCTTTGCGCTGATTCTAACCTTGAGTGGTCCAAGCCTCCCTCAGGTCCTACAGGTTCTTTCCTGGTGCTGCAAGGGCTAAATACTGATTTGACTGGTGGCTCATTCAGATTTTTGGCCCTGACACTTTAGCCTTAAACAAATCTCATAAATAAGTTTACACCTTTATCTCCTGATCTAAAATAGAGTAAATTGGTAAAGTAAAAACCAATTAGTCTTTTTTTTTTTAAGAACAGCTGTTCACACTAAACTATGTTTTCTACCTTTATCTTGCATCTACCTACCACTTCAGCATTTTATTAAACATAATAATAATAATAATGGAGAAATGTGGGATTCACATATAAATCAAGTATAAAAATCAAACGAATATTCATATTTGACCTGATTGGTTATAGTTCCTAATGCGTGATCAAAACCGAAAGTTTCTGTGATGACTGCCCTTGCACTGTTCACCATGTAAGAACTTATTCACTATGTAAGAATTTGTTCACCATGTAAGAACTTGTTTGTTATGCTTCAGAAGATTGGAGACTGTTGAGAATTAGGCTTGGGGTTGATTAATGATTGTGCATTGAGTCCCCTATACAGAATTTTATTGTTGTTAACCATTTGATCAATAAATATGAGAGATGCCCTCTCAAAAAAAAAAAAAGAACAGCTGTTCATTGCTGGAAATAGCAAAAAAAACCCAGGAAACAGCCTGAAAGTTCATTGTTAGAGGCTGAAAAGTTACTTTAGATCCATGTGATAGATACTATGCTGGTATAGACAAGATTGATGGTGCTCTTTGTGCCTAGCATGGAAAATCTCCAATGGTTGGGGAAAACCAAAGTGTAGAACAGTGTGCTTGAAATGCTACCATTTGTGTTTTAAAAAGGTAGCGGGGTGGAATATATATTTATATTAGCTTGAATGTACATTTTTAAGTCCTTGCAAAGATACGTAAGAAACTAACAACAGTTCTCTATTTTGGGAATGAGGGGGAAACCGGGGGATGGAGGGCAGGTGTGGGAGGGAGACGTCACTGTGTGCCTTTTTTTAACCTTTTGATTTTTGAGCCATGTTAGATACTGATTCAAAAAAATGGTTTCCAAAAAAAGGAAAAACTGCTTAAACAAAGCATGTGCAAAGCCTCCTACAGACACAGCTTTATAAAGATACTCTCATAGAGACTTACTGTAATCAATGTCAAGTACAAATAAATGATGACGCTTTTCTACTCACCTAGGCACTAAAAGAAGAAATCAAAGGGATGCATGGATTACGGATATTTACCTCCATCCCCAAACACTGACCACGCCCTGGCTGTATAGATGCTGCTTTACGACCTTGGACAAACTTGATGGACACAGTTCCTCCCCAGGCATTTGCCAAAAACTTGCCTATTTTGTTCATAGACATTTCCATATTATAATTATAGAAGAATATGTTCTTTATTTAGGTATTAAAGGCAACAGCTTTTGAAGAATCATTAGTAATGCTTCTCATTCTTTTATTTCAGAAGCAATGTCCTTCTGTCCAAAGCAGTCTCATCTCGGGCAGCTCTGTCCTGCTGCTTCAGAGGCAGAATGCAGTGCCAGCTAAGTCTGGCTTTATCAAGAGACTTGCTTGTTTCTTCTGCTCTGTGAAACTGTTCTTCCATGAAGCTGCCATCAAGACCCCCTTAATCATACAGAAAAGAAAAATCCTGTGGTTTACTGTTCCATTTGTTTACCACATAATTAAGTTTAAGTTTATTTCCTTTCTGCTCCAAACTTCTTACAGGAATGATCTTAGACACTCAGTTTTTTACTCTGGAGTGGACTCTGAGGAACCTGGGCTGCCTGGATCAGGGTCTTCTTCCTACTTCAAGGTTCCCCACCCTTTGTATCTTAGCGGGAGGTGGATCTACCTCCCACAGCAGAAGCTGGAAGCCCAGCTTTCTTAGCTCCCTTGCAATAAAGCACAGGGAGGTGATCTACACTTGGCCAATAAGACAGATCTTCCCTGGGCTTGGACCTGGGAGCAGGGGAGCTGAGAACCTGGGGTACTGGCCTGCCAGCAGAATCCAGTGTTCTGGCTGTAAGCAGTGGCACAGCAGTGTTACAAGCTGCTGTCTCTGGAGTCCATGTTGGCGGTCATGGGTTCTGGGTGTGATCATGAGGCTCTGTCCAAAGCCTTCCTGTTCCTGCTCATTTTCAGAAGCTGGGTCCACCAGGGTTCCCAAAAGTTCTGTGATTGTCTTACATACTGTCACTTAATTCTTTTCTGTTGACATCAGCATGGTCAGTGTCTGTTGCTTGCAACCCAGAGCCCTGGTGAGCTCACCCGCCCGCACAGTGCAGCTACTGCCCTCCCGCTCACACCTCCCTCTCAGACAGCTTTCGAAGATCACTTTGTCCCTTGCTGCATTCAGTCCTTGGCACCCAGGTCACCATGGCGATGGCAGGTTTACCATCCACTCCTTCCTCAAACTCTTCCTTTGTCTTTCATGGACCCAACGACCAGGGAAGTCAGTGGTCACTACTGGCTCTGAAGGTCCCACCTGCCTCCTGAACAAGTAAGTGTATGTGGTCCCAGAGTTAAGGAGCAGCACACATTTTAAATATTCTGTTCACATACTGTGCCCCCATTTTTTGGTTTAAAAATATTTTCTTCTTCCTGGTTCTGGGGGAGGGATGGGTGTCCTGCCAAGGCAGAACTGCCTTTTCCAAGGAATAGATGCAATTGTGTCAGAGCTGAGAAGGCAGGATGAAACAACTGAGCACCATGCACCTTTAGGAGCTAGACGCCCTGGGGGACAGCTTGTAGGTGTGCAGTGAGGAAATGCCTAAGCCTGGTGTCCCACAGGCAAAAGAGGAGGGCAGTGGTCAGCCAGAACTGAGAGAATCAGATTCCTCTCGTTTCTTGCATGGAGCCTAACTGTCCTCCTCTTGAGGGTGGGCGTAGTGATCTGCGTCTAAAGTGTGGACAGTGCAGCTTCAGAAACTAACACGAAAGGCACTGTGGTTCCTCCTTGCCCTCTCTCTTGGATTGCTTGCTCTGTGGAAAGGGAGCCGCCATGTTGTGAGGCTGCTCAAACAGCCTGTGGGGAGGTCCATGTGGTGAGGAACTGAGGCCTCTTACCAACAGCCAATGACAGGCCTGCCAGTAGCCTGTGGGGAACTGAGCCTCCTGCCAAGAAGAGAGGCATTTGGGCGCTCCATCCTGGAATGGATTCTTCCCAATCACAAACACAGTCAGGCCTTCAGAAAGCTCACCCCAGCTGACATCTTGACTGCAGCCTGAGCCAGAACAACTCAGCTGAGCTACTCCTCAATTCGTGACCAATGGAAACTGTGAGATAATATGTGTTGTTTTAAGCCACTACGTTTTGGGGTAAGATGTTATGTAGTGACAGATAACTGAGGCGTTCACGCATTACTGGGAGAATACTGGGCAATCCACGTATGGAAGGAAGGGCTGAAGAGCCAAGCAGCAGAAAGGGCACGGGTACAGCTCAGTGTCAGGAACACCACTGCCACTGGGCCTCGTCCACTTCCCCTGTCTGCTTCTCTCTGTGAATCAGCTCTATTATCTCTCACTGGGTTGGCTTCTACCTAGATTGGTGACTATACTGCAGTAGCCTTCATTGTTTATCTTAATGTTCAGGCTACTGGAAGGGCAGCCTGTCCTTCCAAGTACCAGTTCAAAGAATGCCAGGGAAGGGCTCTGCTTGGCCCATCTTGAGTCAGGAGCAAACCCTGCACTAATTGGCTGGAGTCCAGGAGTCCTGTCACTGTGGCCTCTTGCTGGTCTCTGGTGTGGATGGAGGGAGGAGCAATCGCCAAAGTAGGGTTTCTTCCTTTGAAGAAGAGGCTGGGGAAAAAGCAACAGGAGGAAAAAGGGATGTGGCCCCGTTGGCTTCCTGAGAGCCTGAGGACACCAGAGAAGGGCAGGCTCTGCCCTCTGCCCACCCTACCCCCACCCCAGGGGACTCTTCAGGCACAACGAGATGTGTCAGTCCTGCCGTTGCCATCTGTCTGCTCCCAGATCTGGCAACAACATCGAAGGTAGCCCCCTGTCCCCAGCACAGTTGTTCTTCCACCAAAACTAAAAGGACAGCTAGAAGAGGAATCAAAGGGCTGCTTTTTAGTTGATCAAACAAGAAGAAATTGTTTACTTTTGGTGGCCTGAGTGTAACATTACATGTGTTACTTTTTAAGTGCTACTTGTGTAAACTGCTGAGTTAAGATAATATGATTTCTGAGCCACATGTCCTTTTACAAACTACAGCTTTCCGAGGGAAAACTCAGACCCCTGAGCAGGTGCTTGCTGACTAGGCAGGTCAGCCTAAGGGACCCTGCGGTCCACAGCCCTCCCCGAGGTGGGTTCCTGAAGCGCCCCTCTGCCCCCGGGTTGGACCACCCAACTAGCGGGTGGGGCAGCTGGCCTGCAGCCTGGGAAGGGCCCTGGGGCCACAGCGCGCCCCCACCCAGACTCTCGCAGCCGAGGATAGCCGGTGGCTGGCGGAAAGCTCTGCGAATGAGGCCGTCTAGTCTGACGAGACGGAGAGAACTTAGCACGGAGAGGCGGAAGTTGAAAACCGGTCCGCGGGGTGAGGAGGCAAGTCCGAGAGGAACTGACACTAAGAAATAAAGAAGGCAGAGTGATTCTCAGTCCTGCAAATTAGAACTGCCTGGGGTATTAAAAGAACTGCCTGGGGTATAAAAAATGCCTGAGCGGTGGACAGCGAGGGGCGCGGAGAGAGGCCCAGAGCCCCGCGGGGTGGACTCGGAGCCCCGCGAGTCAGGCCCCGCCCCTGCTCGGCCCCTCCTCTCCCCTCCTGCCCCGCCCCGCCCGGAGCCGCTGCGCACGTGCCGCTCGCCCTGCCCATCTCCGCCGCGGCCCCCTTTCCACCCGGTGAGCCGCGGGGAGCCTCGGCCGCCCAGCTGCGCACGGGGCAAGACCTGAGGTGGGCGGAGGCCTGCGGGGGATCCCAGAGGAACTACCAGCTGCGACCACTTTCCCGGAGCACCTGGAGCGCCCGCGTTCCTCCCCCGCGCTTCCTCGCGGCCCCGCGAGAAGCGCCCGCCTGTAGGTATGCGTCCGAGCCCCGGCCTGAGTCGGCGATCGGCTTTCCTCCCAGCAACCAGACGAACCCCAGGCCACCCGGCTCCTCTCGCCGCGCAGCTGGACGGGCGGGACGACCTGCCGACCGTATGCAGGTATTTCCGTTTGCTCTAATAATGCTGTATGGTTAAGTCTGTCGTTCGAACCTCATTTCAGGACATTGATCTCACTCATTTCTTAGGTTGTGGTAAGACACCCCGACATCGTGAATGTAAATGAACATATATGTGCTTTAGCTGTGTTTTTGAGAAAAATACTTATTAAAGAGGCAGAAAAGAGGGTAACAACTAAAAGATGCTGAACAATTTCTTTTCTTTAAGAATAAGAAGAAAAAGAAACGATCATGTTGACTTTTATTCAAACAACTTACTCAGAACTCAGGTGTCTATGATGGTCTCAGGTGTAGCACCCAGCGGGTAACCTCCCCAGTAGTTGTGAAAACAAAACAGTGGTTAGGGAGCAGAATAACCAGCTACACAAATCGATAAAAGAGTAAAAAGTTAAAAACAACTGAAGTTCAAGTCATAACTTTTGGGGGTTGTTTTTTTTTTTTTTTTATAGAACAGCTTATATAACTTCTTATAACTGTTTTTAGGAGTTTTAGATTTACAGAAAAATTGAGAGGCTAGTAAGAGAGTTCTTCTACGTCCCAAACCCAGAGTCCCCCCATTTCACTAGTGTGGCACATTTGTTACAATTAATGCAATTAATGAACCGATATTGATATAGTATTACAAATTACAGTGCATAGTTTATTCAGAATGATTTTTTCATTAATGCCTTTTCCCAGGTATCCATTGCACAACACCACAGTACATTTGTCATGTCTCTGTAGGCTTCTGTTGGCCATGAGAGTTTCTCAGAATTTCCTTGTTTTGATTACTCTTTAGTTTTCTTAAAAATTATTATTAAAGTATCATTGATATACAATCTTATGAAGGTTTCACATGAACAGCATTGTGGTTTCAACATTCATCCATATTATCAAGTCCTAACCCATTGCAGTCACTGTGTATCGGTGTAGTTAAGAGGCTATAGAGGATGACTCTTTAGTTTTTAAATAGTATATACAAATATATTCTGTCTGGGTATTGCGGCTGTGTTTGAGGGAAAGCATTTTAAAAACAAAAACCCACAAGAGAAATCACAATCCAGTTGGCTGACTAAAAGTTACCCTATTCTAAACATTTTGGCAAATATTAAATAATCACATCTTTGACGCCGCACCAAAAAAGCGCACTTGTATTATTGAGACGAAAGCAACTGCCCTCAGTTAACGGACATCGGGAAGTAGCTGCTTCGAGCAAACAGCGCGGGCTTAAAGGAGAGCCTTGTCGGGGTGAGGCTGAGAGATTCATACACAAGGTTAGGGAGGGAGGCATCTGCACCTGCGTTATTAACCTCTCAGCGTGTTAGTATTAACCTGAAAGATTTTTTCTTCCTTTATTTAAGAGAATTTAACTGGAGGAAAACAAAGAATACTTTGGGTGGAAATGGAAATTCCTGACGCTTGAGAAATTTGAATACTTTTCCTAATACTTCAGGCATTGACGAGAGGATCTGAAACTACAAAGTACCTTGAACTGTTGTGTCAACGTGCGGTATCTTCATTGTTCTTGGTGCTGAGGTGACAACTTAAGCAATTTACAGTGAAATAAAGGCCCCCCACCTTGCTCTACACAAACCAGTCGAACTATTTCTGAATCAAATTTGCACAGATCGAAAGACCAGGATGTTTTTCAAGGTAGGCTTTTTGGAAGCTCATGTTGACTTGCCCTGTTCTAGGCTTTTTCACTGTTAAATTTTTCTCCAGGAGATAAAAGTTTGGAAAGGAGTGTATCATCTGGTATAGGAAGGTCAGGTTTTAATATCTTAAGTCTCCCGTTTATTGCCTAAACTTGGTAATCTAGGGCTGAAGTGGGGAGAAGCATCTATGTATGGTTCATTAAAACAAATCCTTGTGGTTTAAGGGTCAGCTGATTTTCTTGCTGCAGGACTTAAAAAGGAGAACTGGATTTCCCTGAAGAGGTCTGGATCCAGATAAGCAGCTTTGCGAGTATCATGTCAGTAAAGGCATAATAATTCAAAAGGGATTTTAATTACAAAACCTTTAAAAATTATATACTGTTGTTGTAAGTCAGGGTGTCATTAAATCAAGTCCATCTCATTTCTCTTAGCCCTCCTAAAACAAGCTCACGGTGGGAACTTTGGAACATGAATGGCCCACAGCCGCAGGCATGAGTGCTGCAGCTGCTTCCTGATCCTCCAATTTGATCTTTTCAAAGAAGTCCATAATGTAGAGGCAAGATGCTAATTGTCCAATTTAAAAGTAGGAAGGACTTCAATAAATCCTTTTCAAAGCCAAAAAAAGAAAAAGAGAGAGAGAGAGAGAAAAGGAACTTCTCAATCTGACACTTTCCTTCGGACCCATTTCTAGCTGGTTCCCTGGGATCTCTGGGTAAATTCATTACTGGGTACAATTAAACACTGGGCTTGGTAGCTGTCTACATGGCCAGATTTCTTTAAAAATGTGCAACATTTTAATTTTATTCTGGCCAAAGTGAAACATATTATCTTCTAAAGTAAGCCTTTATATTTACTGCTTTAAAAAAATTCCAGCAACTTCAAAATGCAGGTTTTAAAGATGCCAGTGATTTAAAAATGTACCCTTTGAAAAGCAGTATGCTGAGATCTGTGTCTGGTGTGACTGTAGTTACTGCCACATTGCATTCTAGTTATGGCTAGCCAAGGGAAGTGTGAGCTGCATACAGCCAAGGGAAGTGTGAGCTGCATACAGTTCGCCTGGTAACAAAACCTCCAGCTGATACAGAACCTAGGTGACCGAGAAGTAGTCATGTATTGTTTGCATAAAAACGTGTCTGTACGGCATTAGAACATCTTATCTACTGTGTCAGTTTGGTGCAGAGAAGATCTCTTGATGTATATATAAAACTTAACTGACCAAACTTTTCCAGCCTTCATTTGCTTTTGTGCGGTTAAATAGAGACAATTATAATCATGATGAACTAACCATGATATTAATCATATTTAAGGAAAAATACATTTAGTACTGCTATAAGCATTTTTTTATTTACTTCTTGACTCAAGAACAGTGAGATTTAATTTTGTTTATGATTTCCTCTAAGGGAATAATGGTAAAACTTAACACACTAGATACTTCAATGTATTAAGTTTCAAAATGTAACATTCTAATGTCCTTCGGTTTATGGCCGGCTCTGTATATAAACATGGGAGCAGAAATCCTCTGCACCACCACGAGGCCGTCTTTTCTGATTCAGAAATAATGGTTAGAAGGTAGACTCTAACTTTTTTGTCATTTAGAGATGCTGCCAAAAGAAGAAATGTTTATCAAATTTCAAGTGACAGAGCTGTAAACTGGCAGTTGGCAGCTTTCAGTGTAAAACTTCATCTTAGCAAGAAAAACTTTGATTAGAGTCAAAAACCAGCTGAGAAAAATTCAGGTGTACAATTCCTAAATGTCTGCTATGTGACTGTATGAATAAATATACTGGGGTGCAATCCATCCATCCAGTCTTTGAAGAATTGACTGTAACAGTCCCAGTTGTGGGAGGAGCTATTCCAATTCTTATTTTAAAAGTTTTAAAAGTGATTGATCAATTGGTAATTTCAAATCATTAGTTTGATCAATCAAATATACAGTTTGGCGCCTCTGACGTTTTTCTTCAAATAGACTTTGACAAAAAAGTAGGAATGTAATCCATTTCATCTTCATTTCTCTGCAGATTCAGCTTTATTTCCCTCTAACATACAATGTTTCTGCTGCCACTACCGGAATGCTTCCTCCATTCGGGCCTTCAAATGTGTAGAGAGAATGACAAGTCTATGTAGTGGGAATGGATTCCTTTGATCATATTTGTTAACAATCCATGGCCAGAACTTTCACCTCACTGTCTGTGTACCTGCTGTCTGTATTCTCTCAGTCTTGAACATAATACATTCTACTCTGTTGTCAGGCCTGCTCGCTTAGTATTGGGATCCTGCCTCCCACCTCAGTTAGCCAGGCTTTGTCACAGTTTTCCTATATCTTTGGCTGACTTCTATAATTTGTGACCAAACCTGGCTGGGTCTCCCATTTGAGGATTCTTTAAATCATCATTCTTCATCTTTGTTATGCCATCTCTTTGATCCATCTCCATTTGGATTTCTTTATTTAATTTCTTTTATAGCTTTTTTCTTCTCTTTTGAGGTGGGAGATAGCTGAAATCCTCTGGTGTTGCACTCCCTACAATTTAGGTTTTTGACGCCATGAATCTGGGGTTTGAAGATCATGAACTCATTGCCTCAATGAGCTCCCATTTCTGGTTAGGAAAACTTACTTATTTTTATGAACAGCTATACCTTTCCTTTAGATTTGCAATCAGGTTTGTCTGCTGGCTTATCTTCTTTGGAATTTAAAAGGCTGCTGTCGTCTGACATATACTTCCTTGGCTGGGCAACCGCACGTGTCTCCAGGAGGATCAAACTCTGACTTGAAAAATGTCGATTACCGGCTGTGACATTTTTCCAGTCACTAATTCAGCTGCCTTTACTTCTGTCCAAGCATTTCCCATAGATTGCTATTTGCCTGTTGATCAACCACTGCCAGCTTCTTTGATTCTCCAATTCTCACTATCCTTCTTTCCTCCACCTCTTGTATTTTCTGAAAGATGTTGGAAACATGAGGATGGTAATATTCATGCAGCTCGTGGTTGGATTTTTTGAAGAACTGATGAGGAATCTGCTTTGCTGTCCTCTGTCATTGGTGACATTTTTGAGCTCATTGGTGTGCCTTTTCAGTGTCTACTTTTCAAAACGTTCATGCCCCCCTCATTTTCTCAAAATAATGCTGTGCTCCATCAGTCTTTTTGTAATCTTGCTTAGAGCATCTTCTACTTAGATTTAAGTTGCGTCCAGCAAGTCTCTCTCATTGGCTGCGCCTCCCAAGTGTCATGAAGTGTGACTCCACTCCTGCTCAGGCCTGGAACAGAGCCCACTTGTGAGGCCAGGTTCTCTGAGAGAAGTCCGTGCTGCCCCCTGTGATGGCTCATTTTGCTCAAGGGTGGAAAGGAAAACACATGAAGTACCCTGAACTCTTTTTACTCCTTCGAGTTCTTTTTGGTGTTCGTATTTCTTCAAAAGATTCCAAGTTGCTCTGCATAGCTGAGTTCAAGCTCTGTCCTTTCCCTGACAAATGTGGTATATTTCTTAAGAATTCCAGGTTCCCACCGTGTGTGTTTTTCTAAGTCAAACTGATTTCTGATCCTGGAGCTCTGTGCCTCAGTGTGGCTGCAGCGGGTGGGAAGGGGCACTCCTTGCAGCTCCACAGGTCCTCTCCCCACCATCCTGCCACCCTGATCATAGAATTAGTCCTGCTTGCTGAAGCAACTTCCTTGTACCTTCCCCCATGATCACCTAACACAGACCAAAATCCTGCTAAGCCCCTTCTAACACTGGCTCACTGGATGGCCCATGTTAGTAATAAAACCCATGTGGTTGAGTCTGCATGTCAGGGGCTGACCCAGGATTAGTTTGCCTGCAGAATATAATGTTGATTAAAGAATAAGGAATAAAATATGGTTCAATCTGAAGGATACATACTATTAAAATGGTAACCACAGCAATTAACAACAGCCTTTTCAGTAAGGCCATGTTGTAGGCACCCCACAAAAAATAGAGATCCCAGCTCCAGGAGCCCTGGGTGCCCTCTGACTTAATGTGTCTCCGAGGCAGTTCCCACTGCTGACCCAGCAGCTAGAGGGGTGTTGTCAAAGCACTGATGGCATCAGGCCACTCCTGTCCTGCCGGCTGCTCCAGCCCCCTCTCCTCCTCACCCCCCGTGCTCCCCTCTGGGCTGGGTGCTTCCACTCAGGTCTGGCACCCTGTCCACAGGCAAGTCTTCCCTCCATGCCCACCGAAACCCCTCTCCTCCCTTCCTTTTTCAAAACACATTAATGTAATTGACAAGTATTCATTCCAGCATTGAAAAGGAAGGAGCCATGAAGCCACAGAAGCGCGTGGAGGAAACTTGATGCCTGTTACCAAGTGAAAGAAGCCAGTCTGAAAAGGCTGCACGCAGATGACTCCAGCTCTGTGACAGTCTGGGACAGGCCAGACTGTGGAGGCAGCAGAAAGATCTGTGCCTGTCAGGGCCGTGGGGGAACAAGGGATAAATAGGTGGAGCACAGAGAATTAGGGCCAAGAAACTATTCTGTGTGCTGTTATGATGGTGGATACATGTCATTATGCATTTGTCCAAATCCACAGAATGTACGATACAAAGAGTGATCCTTAATGTAATCTATGGATTTTAGTTCATAATTTTGTATAGATATTGGCTCATCAATCATAACAATGTACCACACTAATGAAGATGTTAATAATGGGAAATTGGAGAGGATGGGAACTTTCTACTTACTGCAGAAATTATCTATAAACCTAAAACTCTAAAAATAAAGTTTATTAATTTAAAAACAAGAAGTTAATTTACTTTTCCTTTTTTGTACCATATCTACTTAGTCATTTACTGCTGTAGCAATGACATTGGGTAGAACTGCCAGCTCACAGGGACCTTTTGGTCTCCAGTGTGGTCCTCTGCTCTGAGCTGCCTGGCTGCCTGGGTCTGGTCTCCAGGCGCCCAGTGCTGCTGTGCAGTGAGCAGATGGGAGACCTGCGGGGTGGGCGGCAGCTTTTGCTCAGGCTTCCCAATGTGAACATGGCTGAAGAGTCACCTGATGTCTTTATAGCTTCCCTGGCCGATTGGGAGGAAGCTAGTTTCCAGGACTTACACTCTTTGATGGACCAAGCCACTGCCATGCCTTGGAGGGATCAGTTCTCATCTGACCTCATTCAGAATATTTTTCTTACCGTAGACCATTGATTACTGATTCAGAACTATTATTCCATGTTGTTTATAGGGGACTCTCAGTGTTCTCAGAGGCATTTGGGTGCTCTGTTCTCTGGGACTCTGATGGCCTCGTGTATTCATGTTCAGTAGCTGATTCCTGATCTACTTTGGTTATTCTGTTCTCTGCATATCAGTTGTGCTTTTGGCATAGATGCTGTCTGGTCTGTTACCTAGTGATTTTGCCTCTGTTGAGTAGATGAGGTGATCTTTCTGATATTTTTGAAAATAGATCGTAATCACTGTCTAACCTTTTGCATTTTTTGCAAAGGACTCATTACTAGTCTTTGAACTCTTAATGTTTGTTGTTCTTTGTGCAATAAAAGCTTTTCTTTGGTTTCAGATCATTTGGCTTCCTGTTTATTCATACTTCCTAGAGCAAAATTTTGCTGATCTTTTTGTTCTTACTGATAATTTACTTAGAGTGGTTTTATAGTTTATGTTGAGTGTCCTAGTGGATTTTAAAAGGAGCGAGTTGTTGGTAGCATACATGTACCACTACCAGTGTGAATGCCCTCTTATGTATGAGAAGTCACTTGGCCGGGGGCGGAGGGTGCTGAGGACAAAAACAGACGAAGACACCGAGCAACCTGCAGTGCTACTATGGATGGGAGCTGTGGCCAGGTCCTTTGGGAGCCCAAGACAAAGTCAGGGTATTTTACCTTATCCTGGGAGCTGCACCAAATGGAGAGCCTTGAATGTTACAGGAAAATAGTATCATCCAATTTAATTTTTAGGAAGATTATCTGGGTTTGGCTTTGAGGTAGACAGAGAGATCAAATGGGGGCTAGAATGCCCCCCTTCAAATATCAATACCTGTTGAAAAAGCTCTAAAGAACACCACATCTTTCTGCAGAGCCACCTTGTTATAGCCTGTGCCCACAGACTGCCAGGCTGTTGGTCTGGCCTCAAGTTCCTTTCGTGGGTAGGGCACATGGCTGTTAAGGTACAGAAGAAGTAGAGATATATGTGGACAGGGCAAGGCTCTGGTCTCAGACATACCTGGGTTTGAATCTGGCTTCTGCCACTTCCTACGTGGATTGTCTTAAGCAAGCCACCTGTCATTCTGGAAGGCCTCACTTTTAGACACAGGTATGAGAGGCCTTTGCCCTAGGCCCCAAGCTTTGGAAGGCGCTGCTGTGGTCTTATTCCAGCATGCTCCTGCCCGTGGGGATAGGAGCCTGTGCCAAGGATTGAGGCCCATGTGGCAGTCTGTGTGAATGGTGCCCCTGCACCAGCCTTGTACAGTGCACAGATTGTACAACTGCATGATATGGGTTGCTAATTATAGTGGCAAGGAGGGGCAAGCTTGAGGACTCTGAGGGGGTAAAATCCGCACTTGATAGATGTCAGGATGTGACCAGAATGATGGGGGCACAAATAGCCAGAGGAAAATATGGCAAAGAGTTGAGAGGTCAGTTTTAGGCATGTTAAGGCTTTGACCCAGCCAAACAGCCATGCAGACTGTTCAGCAGCCTGACCTCCTGAGGGAGATCAGAGCTAGGTACAGTTTTGGAAATTACCACCTAGCTGAGGCCGTAGGTGAGGCCTGGTGGGCTGACTGAGGCCTCTGAGGGAAAGCCTACAGGCCACAGGGAGAACTGAGGTGATTCTCTTGGGGGCACCTGTATTTAAAGGGCACAAGGGTCCATGAGAGGGACAGAGGACTTCAGGGTCCTGGGACAAAGGAGTGTTACTGGTGGTGGAGCCCAGGAGTGGAGGGTTTCCAGGGGAGCCCACTGAGGTAGGGCTTCAGAGACGTCAGTGAGGACAGAGTCATTCACCTAGAAGACAGCTCTTTCTGAGAGACATGGGTGAGTGAGTGGTATGGAAACTGAAGCCAGGGGTTGTCTAAGCCTGCAGAAATGTGGCTGCGATAGGAAGGAGGGAGTTGGGTGGTGGTGTGAGGCTGGGAGGTCAGGAGGAGCCACAGGGAGGGAGTGATTGAGGAGGCACAGCCCCATAGCCCAGAGGAGAAGCAAAGGGTACAGGTCAAGAGAAAACATGGGGGGAGGGTTAGCCCCGAGGAATAGGGATCAGTCATGTGAAGAAAAAAGATGAAAACCTGGGAAGACATTTGAAATGTAGGGATGGGACTGGGATGCCTGCTGGGCCTGGGGTTGAGCTTCCTGGGTATCTGCAAGACTTCCAGCGTTGGAAAGTGGCTGGGGCTGGAAGCATCTAGATTTTGAAGTTTTGGTGGCATCATCTATGGTGACCTTGCAGCCCTGACTGACATGTGTGCTGGGCTCTGTGTGCTGAGGGGATTTGCAGCTGCCTACCACAGCCTGGTGGTATTGCAGGGGTCACTTCCCCTCACAGGATGGTGAGTGTCTGTTCTTTGCAGAGCCATGAAGCTGATGGCTCTGTAGGTGAAGAAGCCTCTAAGGGTGTCAGCTAGACTTGGGGTAAAGTTGTTGAGCAAGCTGTGTAGATGGTTAGGGTGAAAATATTGACAGAAAACTAATGTTCAAAATCGGCAGGGAGGGTGGGTTAAACAGCCCGTTTAAGATGGCTTAAACTTCAAGTGTTGAGTGTAGAATTAAAAAAACAAGATGAATTGCATGAAGGCTGGAGGGGGGAGCCTCAGCTTGGCAGTAGGTCACGTAAGAGGCCCCTAAGTGGTCAATGACTAGTCTTGATTCTTTAGTGACCCAGGGCTTTGTATCCATTTGTAATGGAAGCTTCTACTCCCCTCCTGTCCGAATGCCTGGTACTTATACTTCTATAGAATTTTTTGATCCTCGTATCAGTCTTATATGGTATCGTTAGCCTGTTTTACAAAGAAAATGACATGAGATGAAATGGCTCATCTCACATCACACAACTGGGAAGCAAGGGAGCCCTTGAGCCACACAGCCCTCAGCATGACTCAGCTGTTTAAAAAGTGAATAAATCTTGGTGTGCATTTATAAAGATGGCATGACCAGATTGTGGGACTCCTTGGTGTCTCTGTGCTTGGGTTAGTCAGCCAGATCCTGGAATTCATTTCTAGAGATAGATCCCAGTATAAAAAATGATGTCCTAGGTGTGAATGGATGGGTGTGAGCGTGGGGGCTCGGGGAGTGGGATAGGGTCTGGAGCTATGTCACAAGGAGGTTCAGGGAATTAAAGAGGTAGTTGTGTGGCTGAGAGGGATTACAGAAATTAATTCAGTGGGTAGGACTTAGATGAGGCAGATTTAGATTAGTTCAATTTGTAATTACAAGTTGGAATCTTGGAGGTCAGTAAAAATATTGGATGATTAAATGCTTCTCTATCCATACAATGAAATACTAAGCAACTCTTTAAAAAGGTGTAGTTCTGTATTATTTATATGTAAAGATATACTGAGAAAAAGATTACAACATAGCATGGTATTATTCCATTAAAAAATATATGTTCACATGTGGTTATATTTACATGCACAGATGTTTACAACCAACATGTGGTTCTCTTGCAGTGGGATTTCAGATAATTTAAATGTTCTGTTTTCTAATTTCTGTATATTTAGCATGAAATTTGTGTAAGAGATGAAAATATAGTCACCTGGAAGTGAGTCAGTTCCTGCTGAAACAGAAAGCTCCCAGCCCTCTCCCCCATCCCTGGAAATGGGGCCACTGCCACAGGGGCTGGAGGAGGGGACAAGGTCAGGTCTCTTTCAAACTTGAAAGACTGTCAGGTGGAAAGGAGGTATCCAACACAGGGTGTTTTTGTAAAACATGCAAATGTGGATGAGGATCCCCCAGATGGCCATGTGCTCAGGCATTTCCAGAAGATTCCTCTACTAGTTTCTTTTCTAGAGGGTTCCTTTCCTGCAGACGAAAACCTCCGAGCTGGTCATCTGGTACTCCTGTTATGATTATGGAGATTTCATTCAGATGCCTCAAAGAGGGCCCTTCCTGTCTAGTGACCTCACGGGATTTTGGCATCAACTAGAAAGAATGCTGAAGTCTTCATAGACTGCTGGTTTGTAATCTGAGATGCTGAATAGATTTCAATCAGATGTCTGTTTCAAGCAGGAGGAGATGGTTCCCTCTCCCATGTTCCCTTCTCTCTTCCTTTCCTCAGTTCCTAGTTACCTTTCCAAGGTAGGCCACCACCACCTGAATTAAAAGAGGTAGCCCCAGGCATAGGCCCTTATGGGAAAGTTCCTCTCCCCAGGATAGCAGAACCTAGGGTCCCATATTCAGTCTTCCCTACTGGAGGTGCTGTCAGGCCATCAGAACAGAGCAGGGTTCTGCAGTCCTGTAGCAAACATTTCATCAGAAGTGAACAGTTCTAATTGGGTTGGGGAGAGGCAGTTTCCAAACTGAATGAAGAAAGTGGACAAAGAGATAAAAGGGGAGGGGGTTTAAATACGATGAGAAAAAGGCCATCTTTATTTGCTCCTGCAGCCCCAGTTCTAAGAGCTGATATCCCTTGAATGGTCCTTTATGCAGGGGGCAGAAGGGGAAGAGGAGAGGCTCTGTTGTTAGTGAGGCGTTGCTTGTGCACCTGTGACCACAGAAGGCAGGAGTATGGGGAACCTTCAATACCACAATCTGGGAGTCAAGGGGGAGAAAAAGGACCCACTCTGAATTTGAGTGCAAAAAATAAATATAAAATTTATTAAAACACCCACAATATTTTAAAGATACCAGGAGTAATACAGTTCACAAACTCAGTTGTTTGTGTAAATTATAATAAAATACAAATCAAAAAGGATACATACTTGTAATTTCTAGGCACCCTAAATTAAATTTACTGAAACACTGGGGGAGAAGGGAAGGTAAGGAGGGGTAGCTCAGGAGGCAAACCAATAAAGTGGGAGGAAAAGTATTAACAAAAAGGTAAAAATTATACAAAATAAAATTATCAGCATAAATTTACTGTACTAAGAATATCTACAGTTTAATACACATCCTATTGCCTTGAGACATTGCAAAAATCTACCATTCATCCATCAACCCCAGATAAACTTCATTTCAAGTAGCCACAGTTACAAAGTCAAGACGGAATATTCAAGTATGGTTGTTAAGTTCACCTCCATTGGAAGCCAAGTAACCAAACAGGAATTCAAAGAAATAAAACACATCAAAAGCTACAGGGGCTCTAGAATAAGTCGAATGCATTAATATGCCACAATATGACCTGCCCTTGTTTGTTTTTTTAATTAGAATATGTGAAAAAGAAATGACATCACTCCTGTTTTTCTCCTCCTTTTTCCCCTCAAAAGAAAAAAAAAATACTGGAATCAAGAAAATTTAGATGTTCAAATGAGCCAAATGGTATTTTTAAAATTCCCATGTGAATAGTGATGAGTTATCCCTGAATGATGGGTAGTAGAAAATGAGGAGAGAGAGCGCAAACGATACCACTACGA